AACTCACCCCCAGGGGCGGGCTCTCAGCCCAATAGTTAACAGATGTACACGCAGACCACTCAACCCAGGATGCCGCACCCACATACTCTATGGTAGCATACCCCTTAGAGCAGTAGACCATGGGGCACCAGAGGACCAACATTCAAACTGAGGAAATGCAGGTCACACAGGAGGCATAAATTTGAGGGACATGGGGAGGGTCACAGGGTAGGGAGGGGAGGAGACTGGGTTAGGGTCGGACATGGCGAATGGGGAATGAAACTAAATGTACGCGTTACGTTGAATGTAAAACAAGCTCTTGAAAAAAAAAAGATTACAGCTATGGGGCAATTCTACTGTCACATGGGGTTGTTTTGAGTCAGAAGCAGCTTGAAGCACCCAACAAACCACCGCCACCACCACCAAGCCATGAAGACAGCCATTAAGGAGGGAAAAAAAAGTGAGAAAAGGGTTAGGGAGCAAAACAGGAAGTACCCTTGCAGATTCGAGGAACAGTTCACATAAGCACGTCCATGTACCTGTCAACACTGCTGAAAACTCAGCCATTGAGAAGCCTGCGGGGCACAGCTGCACTCTGACCCGCATGGCGTTGCCCTGAGTCGGGGTCGCCTCCACGGCACCAGGGTGACTGGGTTCTGTCTAACCCAACTCGGCGACTTGAGGTGATGGAGAACTGCCCCATGGATGGTGGGCTTGACGGTGCGTTTATTAAGCGTGTAACAAACGTCCCTGTTGGGCTTCATGGATGAGGGTGTCTGGAGAAAGTGCAGAGCCACATGTGGGACAGTGACAGCTGGGGTGGAGTAACAGCTGGGGAGCATCCTTCAAATTTAACAGGAGGAAGAAAGCTTGCCTGTTTCTCCTTTCCTACCCTGTTACGAGCTGTCGAGTCAGACCCAACTCATAGCGACCCCTCCTTGGGTTTCCGACTCAGTCAGTCTTCACAGAAGCAAAGCCCAAACCACACCCACAGCCATGGAGTCCATTCTGACCCACAGCGCCCCTAGAGGACAGA